GTTGTTGTTGTTGTTGTTGTTGTTGTTGTTGTTGTTGTTGTTGCTGTTGTTGTTGTTGTTGTTGTTGTTGTTGTTGTTGTTGTTGTTGTTGTTGTTGTTGTTGTTGTTGTTGTTGGTGTTGTGACTGTGGTGGTGGTGAGCTTGGGTGTTCGCACGTGCGGTCTCTAGTCCCGAGTACCTCCAGCTTGCATCCCCCCCCCAGTGGACATCGCGCGGCAGGGGCTCATGAGAGCCGAAAGGTTGGCTCGTTTTTTCGCACCCCTCCAGCAACGCACCCGCTTGCTTTATTTAGTCCCCTCATGCTGAAGTTCCCTCCGATGCAACCACACGCAACAAGCGGTGCCGCCCCCGCTTGCCCCCTCTCCCGCCCCCCCCGACGTCTTTGTGGTGGTACCAAAGGTATCGTTACTGGCCGAGTTTGCGCCGCCCTTCGAGCGAGGCCGGCCGCCGGCCTACACGAGCGCGTTTTTGCGTTTCTTGAGACCGACGGGGTTTGCACCGCTGGAGGCGGCGTTGAGGGAGTGCGGCAAGCGACGCCCCCCCCTGTACGACGAGATGGCCTACATCCTGGGGAGGATGGGCGACACTCGGAGAGCGCTCACGATCTTGCTCGAGGTTGGTGCGCCTGTGTTTAGGTCGTGGTAAAGCGGGTAGCAGGAGTTGCAGCATCCCGACGTCGTGCATCGGGTTGCTGTGCGGTGACAACGGCAGCAGCAGCAGCAGCAGCAGTGCCATGTCGGTGATAGGTCGACAGATTTGTTGACAGATTTTTGGAATCGTGCCCATTTCGTCCATCCTCCCGTTGGCGTCGCCTCCCGTCTGTACAACTCCTGAGGCATGTACTTTTCTCTGCATGTCAGCGATGACGACAACAGAAGAACTGTGTGTGTGTTTGAATGTGCTCTCAGCCACCTCACGCCAAGTCTCGCAGTCAAAACACCCCGAGGTTGGCCTCCAAGGTATCCTGAACCCGCGACTTAACCCCTGACCTATGCACACACACCCCAGCCCAACCTGACCGTACCCCCGTTTCCCCCGCAGGAGGTAGGCAGCGTGCCGCGCGCGATCGAGTTCGTCGAAGCCCACGACAAAGACTTGTGGTACCGGCTGATTGAGCACAGCCTCAAGAGCGAGACGTTCCTCTCGGGACTGTTGGATCACGCCGGGGTCTACGACGTAGATCTGGCCCGCCTGGTGGCCGAAATCCCCAAGGGTATGCACATCCCAGGGTTGCGGGACAAGGTGGTTAAGATCATATCGGACTACCACTTTCAGGTGTGGATCGTGTGGTGCTGCAGCACATCGCAAGGTGCCTCGGTGGGGGGGGGGGGGGGGNGCGGCGGTTCAAAATCCTACAAGTTGCATGTTGTGTTATGCTGACCGATGAACCCTTTGTCCTTCCATCAATGTCAGCACAAAGAAATCTCACCCCGGAATTGGTGTAGCTTGACTCCCCCCCCCCCCCCCCCCC